TATAAAATTAGTTCAGGCTTGCAGACTGCATCCTGGCATGATAAAGCTGTGCCCGAGTTGCGAGCGCTTCATCAGAATAATGTTATCCACACAAAATATCGGAACACAAGCAGCCGCGGCCAACAACAAACGGTAAAAACGCGCAAGAACAAGCTTGACCGGATGTTTTCTGGGGTGGTTTTCTGGTGAACGTACAATGTTGCCAGAGACCGGCAGGCTGTGGCGAAACCGTTTATACCGAGTTTGTTGCGTCAAAACGTGTGGTACTCAAACAACATGAGAGAAATACAAAGTTTTCGCATCGGGAGTGGGAAGGTCTTAGATTTCTAGTCTATGGTCTTCATTTTTACAGCGACATAACCAGCTGCAGTTGCTCGCAGCAGAAAAATACAGTCGACACCAGCCGGGTTAACACCTTCTATTAGCGTCTTTTTGGACTAGTCGGCAACTTTATATAGGTTAAAGATGTGAAACACACGCACCTAAGTCACACGCGATCTTTCATGTGTCTGTGGGTTGTGTGCTTTCCACAAAAGCGTAAAAATAGTTTGCCATTTGCCAGCTGGCTGGGAAACGTGCTGTCGTGAGAGAAATCACAGGATATCCGCGGAGTGAATGATGTGGGGGTGAAGCATCCGTCCACGCTTTCGTCCATCCATACTTCCATTCGTTTGTCCGTACGTCCATCCGTCCGTCCATCCGTGCGTCCATTCATGCATCCGTCCGTCCAGTACATCTACGGAGCACAATATAGCACGGACGGACGAACGCTTCCCCCCACTCATCATTCATGATGATGAGTGGGGCGAAGTGAACGTCCATCTGTGCTTCCATCCGTCTGTTTGTTCTCGCTTCCATCCATCCATCCGTCCATGCATCTGCCTGTTCATCCGTTTTTCTGTCTGTCACTCACACTAGCACCACATGCTGAGTGAGTCATACAACTAGGTCGTTAGGAACCAGTAACAAACATATATGGACGAACCCACGGCTTCAGAAGCATCGCTTCTAAAACTGTGATTGCGTACCATGTTTTCATATCATGTTTTTGAATTATTTATTAGCCCCTTCATTTACAGACCACACCCTGCCACGCACAGTATATTGTATTTTGTTTTCATCTCTTTTACCTTACTGCAAACAGCACATTGAAAAAAAAAATGTTGAAAATATATCATACTATTTGGTGATCTACATGTGGCTTTTATAGCAATAAATCATGGTTCGCGCGCACACATTCACTATCAAACCAGGTTTAGCGTGTTTTCTATAGGCATATATTGTAAATTAGCAATTTTTATAAAGATTTCATTATTATCGTTAAAATGAAGTGACCGCAAAGCTTTACAACAATGAGCAAGCAAAATTGCATGCCACAGATTTATTTGGACGATAACTTTATTACACTTCAAAAACAAGCGCTATAACTCACTGCAAAAACAGCGCGTGTCTTGCTTCCACTTCAACTTGTTCTCGTTTTTTCGAGCTGGCGCAAGTGGATTGGCAGCCTTACTCGCGCATAACTTGATATGAACACTTTTTCCAGAAAACCCTTGTGTTGCTGGTATCCCTGCAAGCTTAACTTTACCCTTTCGAATAAATATTCAGTTACACCTATGAGAGGGGACTTCGGGGTGAACAGGTTGTCTGTCCAGGATGTGATTCCTTTAAAGGTCTCTTCACAAGATATGAGGAGCGAGCTCATAACCTCACCGCTCGGATAACACAAGTTCTCATCATTCTGATAATACTCCTTCAGAGCAGTTAAATATGCGTGCTCATGGCTCGCCGAGCCTTTCATTGCAGCCCTTCACTGCCCACGGTCCGTTTTCTTCAAGATATTCATTTAACAAGAAATCCACATATATGGTGCAAAATGCAGCACTTTATTGAAGTCAAGGCTTTAATGAAAATAATTTTTCATAATCAATTTATCTTCAGCATCTCAACGACACTCTATTTTCGCTTGGGAAATCATGTCAACCGGGTACTGTGAGTCATCTTTTTCATAACTAGAGTTCACCGGCATGCGCAAAAAAAAAAAAAATCTGGCTGCACGCATACAAGCACACAACGGGCACACGGACGGACAGACGCACGGACGAACGCGGGGACGGACGAACAGACAAACGCACGGACGGGACGAACGCACAGACGGACGCAACGACGAACCCACGCACGGAAGGACTGACACACGCTTCGCCCCACTCATTATCATTCACTCCATGGATATGCAGTGACACCGTTTCTATTAACCTGTCGGCGTGGCGCAGTAGTTAGTGTACTCAGTAGGAAATCCGAAGGCGGCTGGTTTGATTCGCGTTGTCGTACCTTTTTCTTTTTTTTTTACGGGTGCTCTCTACATCGTTTTTATACAATTGTTTTTAGTATTACTTTATTGGCAGCTCGTCACGGTCGTTCTGACGCTGCTTCGCGCTCCAGCTTTGCCGGCTGGAGCGCGTCCATCCACCATCCTGTTCCCACCATACACCATGTGCCACAACCGCTTACAGCACCATAATCCACCAAAATGGTGGATGGTGGACATTTTTTCAATGGGGACGAAACGGGACGTACGACCCATGGCTTAAAGGGTTTTGCCCCTAAAAGGAATAGTTGAAGGTGCCGGCAGCAACAAACGCACAACGTAGGCGCACGTCCTCGCGCAATTGCAGCTTGTGTACAAGAAGCGATTAAGAACAACGCGTTTTGTGCTATCCAAAATTAACGAGTTAAATACGCATGTACACAGCCTGCAAATGAAAATGTATTGCACCCGGTGCACTGGTGATCGCAATTGAGTCCGATCGGAATCCAGGTTCTCAACAGTGATTGGCGCTCTTCTGCAGCAGCGTAAGAGAGTCAAACACATCAGGCTTGATCGCGATTGAAAGCGCATGCCCGTGTGACCAAGCTTTAAGTTCTGAAAAGAGGTTATTTGTAACTAGTGGCTACATTTTGAATGTCATACCATGTACATACCTTTTGTAGTTATATTTTGCACTAACTCTCTCTCTCTCTCTCATATATATATATATATATATATATATATATATATATATATATATATATATATATATATATATATATATATAAAAGGGATATATATATATATATATATATATATATATATATATATATATATATATATAAGGGAGAGAAGTGTATACCTAAGGGCTCGTCGTATTTCCGTGTTTTAACACAATATTAATGAGTTATAACAGACAGTAATGCCAAGGAATGTACAGGGAAAGTTATTAGAGCCAATGGAATGTAAATAAGAAGAAAGAAGAAAGAAAAGTGGATGAAAAAATTACCAGCTGTGAGCAGGAATCGAACCTACGACCTTCGAATAACGCGTTCGATGCTCTAACCACTGAGCTATCACAGCGGCCGTCCCTCCATCCACTTTTTGGGGTTTATATGTGAATTTAGAAGTAGGAGTGACAGTCAGCGCCATATATATATACAATATTAATGAGATCTAACAGACAATAATGCCAAGGAAAGTATAGGGGAAGACATTAGACGGAATCGCAATGTAAAATGAAGAAAAGTGGGTGAAAAGATAACTTGCCGTGAGCAGGATCCTGCCCACGGCAAGTTATCTTTTCACCCACTTTTCTTCATATTTACATAACGATTCGGTCTATTGTCTTCCCCTATACTTTACTTGGCATTATTGTCTGTTAGATCTCATTAAATATTTTGTAAAACACAGAAAAACGAGCCCTTAAGTATACTTCTTTCCTTTATATATATATATATATATATATATATATATATATATATATATATATATATATATATATATATATATATATATATATATGAGTAGGTTTGTAATCTATTTACTCGCTGTTTTGTCATTGTTCTTACCCTTCCTGCTATAACCCCTCACGAGATTAGCAGTATTCATGAGTAAAAATAAATAAAAGTAAAATTAACTCTCGAAATGGTAAATTGGCTTAACTTACTCTGCCCAAACACGATCGGTTCCTGGGTAGCCACTTGTCACGTTTGATCTTTACAAGCTACAAGAGTCGCCTTTTTCAGACCTTTCGGCGATCTGAACATCCGGTAGCCATTTCGCGAGTAGCTTGTGCACTGTGGCACGCAACGCCCGCGCATTTTGCCCGAGAAAACACAACGCGCGCGTCTCACCCAACCAGCGGCGACGAGACGGGGGGAGCCAAATGGTGGCCGCTGATCGGAAGGCGGCACTCACCCCTTCAAATACAGTGTACCAGAAGCCAATCAGATCAGCAGCCAGGATGACATCACTTAAAAGAGTGGCTCCACCCTCCAAGGGGGTGCGCGCGCATCGAGGAAACTTACGGTAGAGTGTACCCTTCTAGTACACTGTACTTACGACAGGAGTTTGATGCCCCTGGCAATAGGTTTCTGGCACCTTTCGAACAAGTTTCGTGACCCATGTAATTTGACCATGGTCGTGACGCTGTTGAAGGGAGCTGCCTGAGAGTTCAGGTTAAACTGTTTAGTAGGCCGACCATGCGGCCACGTAAAAGGAAAGTCAGATTACAGCAAAGCACTGGCACTGATAGCGGCGAACAGAGCGTCATTCGTCGATCAACAAACAAGCGGCGACGCGCGGCGGAAGTTATACATATGATGCGTCTTCGGATATACCAGCCTTATCAAAGGTATTCGCACAAGCTCTGAAATAATCTCGCGTGTTCGCGTCTTGCGAGAAATTTTAACAGAACAGTCTACAATGATCGAGAACCTTCTCGAAAAATGATGCGCAGTTTGCGCTGAGCATTCCTGACCCAGGATTTGTGGGTGAAAACCGAAAGAAAGATAAGTGAAAATACGAAACGCACGTGGCAATATGTTTATGCTTAATTTTATTCATTTTCTTTTTGTCCTCAAATGGCTTACATGAGCTGTCAGTACCTTGTCCTTATTTAGTTTGCTTTCTTGTTTTTTCTTTCACACAAGACACACACACACACACAAAAAGAATCACAGTCAGAGCCTTTCTGTGCATCTTTAAAAATGCATTGTTAATTTAATGAAAATATTAGTGTTCAACAGTTTCCCTTCTTTTTCTTCTTCTTTGGTGGAGGCCCTTCTCGCTTCTGAGAATCACCAGAGCCAGAAGGCTTGCTTGCTACCTCTTCAACACCAGGTGCCTTGCAGGCATCCACGAGCCACTTGTCTTTCTCAGGCAACTCAGCCTCAGTCTTTGAGAATATGATGGATCGATCCACCTTTCGCCTGGTTTCTGTACAATGAGCAAAAATGGAAGTTACTAAAAATTTCTTTAGCTCTAATTGTGCTCTAATCCAGCACTAATTGTGTAGGTCTGAGAGCCCATACTTGAAGGGACTCTAAAAAGTTTTTAAAAGTTTTTTTAGCGTTTAGGCTAGAGCATCATCAAACCATTTGAATCACATATTTAGCGACACACCACGTAAAAAAGCCGCTACACACAATTATACCATAACCTTCTTCTCGCCTCTGCCTTGGGTCAACTTGTGAGGCACGCTGGCGATCACAAGCTCTCATGATGAGTTCACTTGACAATTTCAGCTTCGCCCAGTCCACACCTCCGAGATTGAATGCCAACAGGTTGCCCTGAATCTCAGAGGCTATCACCACAGTGCACCTGGCAGCACACACCCAGTCTGGCATCAGAGACGAAGGTCGTCGCGTGGTTGATACCTGCTCTGACAAGTGCCTCCACCCTACAAGCCCATCTTACTTTCGTGCATTTCACAGCTAATCAGATCAGCAGCCAGGATGACATCACTTTAACAGAGCATGTCGTTTTGTGAATGGGTGGTTTTCAATGCATTTGGCCGAGTCACAGCTATCTGCAGCGATTCGCAGCTTTAGAGTGTTGTAATAAATTACACAGTTTACGTAGAGAGCTGAAATCAGTATATAAGCGACCCTTATGACTTGGTCTACCGGCCCAATGTGTTTGTACAAAATCACCAGAAACCTTTCAGGGTCCCTTTGGTGCAGCTCCTCAGCCGTGAAACCTGAGAAAGTGTGTAGCACAGGCAACCTCTGACATCGCCACCGCATTGGGCATCGCACGCATGTTTAGGCAGTGGTGCCTTCTCATGCGCGGTGCAGACATAGGCTCCATGTTTTAGAAGCATTCTTCACAATTTCACATAAGTTATTGTTATTAACTCTAGCTTATTTCTGCACTTATTTTAGACCTTGATAGCTGAACTGGTCTTTAGCATCGTTAGCCTTGTTATAGGTTATATAACCCGCGACCTGCGGGTCAGCAGCCGAGTACCTTAGCCACTAGACCACCGCGGCGGGGCATATGAAAATTGCATTGTACTGCTATTGCACCATGGGACCATGCAATGCGAGACTGTGATGGGGGAGCGGCCAGACCCCTGCAGTGCTGCACACTTAGAATATCCTTACTCACACAGTAAACCAATGCAAATAAAACTATGTGCACCCAGAATTTTTGGGGAATATGTTACTGTGCGGCCTCTGATGCACAATATCACAGATTCATCAGATGTATTGATGCCTTTGCTACACAACACATTAAATGAAATTTTCTTTCACAAGTTCATTTGTATGCACTCTTGCTGTGCAAGTAAGCTAAAAGGCCATCGGAAGATCAACTCATGGCCTCTAAGCATTCAGTTTAATAGCAGTACAATGCAATTTTCATATGCCCCGCCGCGGTGGTCTAGTGGCTAAGGTACTCGGCTGCTGACCCGCAGGTCGCGGGTTCGAATCCCGGCTGCGGCGGCTGCATTTCCGATGGAGGGGGAAATGTTGTAGGCTCGTGTGCTCAGATTTGGGTGCACGTTAGAGAACCCCAGATGGTCGAAATTTCCGGAGCCCTCCACTACGGCGTCTCTCATAATCATATGGTGGTTTTGCGACGTTAAACCCCACATATCAATCAAATGCAATTTTCACATAAACAACCCCAACAACGCCACAATGCATACTAAAACAGTTATCTATTGCCATTAATAACATAGCCAGACATTTTTTACAGGGAGGGCCTCGCATGTCAACCAAGGCCTCAGATCTCATCTGGTGTTCTGCAGCTTCTCCATCCTGGTCCTTTCATGCTGATTTTTCCAAGTTAATCAACCTAAACATGTTTGTGTGTGTATACAGACTGTCCCCCATCACTTCATTCAAAACTTCAAAATTGGAAGGCACACTGAAAGTGAACTGAACCGAGCCCATACTACTTGCACTAGCCTACAGTTACTCAAACTATGCTCTATTTTACATAATTAACTAATTCATTATGCTATTTTAAATATTTTAATCATTGAGTGAAGACACAAATAACGATTCCACAGTTGTAGGGCGCTATCAGAAATCACCAACTGAATCTTTTTTGTATGACACTGCTCACACAGACCTTTCTTCCGCATTGTGAGGAAAGTGTGCAGTATATCAAAGAAGATATTATTCAGTAAGATATTTTTTCATGACAAAAGCAGTTCATCCAGTTGTTTGTGACATGATCTCTCGTAAAATTATCCAAGACATTCAAGCTTCTTATGGAAAGCAATAGCACAAAGGGAGATGTTGAAAAGAATCTGTCTGCAACAATCAGCCAACTTAAACTTGTAGAACATGGACGAAAAATGCAACTTTTTCTTCCATGTAAGCTAACATTTCATCTCGCCTATAATAGTAAGATAGCAGAGGTCTGGCCTCATTTCAGGACATAATACCCACTGTACCAATCTTTTTTTAACGTCGCCGTAAATGAAAATTTGTATGGCAACGACACCACAATCCTATCTAGTGTAATACGATTGACACAAATAGCTTCCAACTAGTACGCTTGGTGACAATACAATGAATTTATTTCAAACGAGGCCTCCCACATTCAACGACAAATCGTGATCACATGGCAATAAAAATAGACAAGAAAGGAACTGAATGAAAGCATTGTATTTTCTCAATACTCCGTGCAATTATAAGTTCGTCAGTTCAGTTTCCAGAAGTGGAGAGCTCCATTTTTAACCACTTAAATTATATTTTATGCATGTAATAATCACTTCACTTCAATTAACACCAAAAAATGTGGCCTATGCTTGGTTACATTAGGTTGTGCCTAAAAAACAAATAAACCCCTTGATTCATTCTCCTTCTTTGATTCAACTCTACCTTAAATGGGTGATTACAAAAGACATGCATGATTTAAATATATATTTATTGACCATACATAATTTTATACATTAAGAATTGGGAATTTAGGAATGAAGAGAGTATATATAAATTCCAACTATATCTCATAACATGACACGTAAATACACTGCACCACAACTAAGGCATAGAGTAACATAAAAATGACACGAGTGGTCACTCGGGCCAAAAAGCGGCTGAGCTACGCAGCTTTACACAGCCGTAAGATGGCAACACATCACTTACTGCTTCAAGAAAACATGCATATTAGTTATTCACTACAGTACCTTTTCTAGTGCAATATACGTCTACGTGTTTTTGCGTATGTGATAGTGGCTTGGTAGTGGCCTGAATCCGTCTTTTGCGTCTGCGATTGTGCGGTGCGATAACCTCGGACTCGCATCAGGCATGAATTGGACACCAGAGAAGTGCACATGGCGTCGAAACGACGGCAACGCTGTCACGGTCCGTGTTGATGAGCATTTGTGGCAATGAAGAAGTACGAGTAGCAGCAGGGAGATGCAATGAAAGATGTGCGATAACATTCCTGGCATGCGTTGTGGTCTTCGCTTGTTTCGGCTGCCTCTCGGCCTGGCTGCTAGTAGGTACAAACGCCAACAATGATATGTTAAGTGCGTATTGCATTTGTGATTGAAGCCTTAACCTAGCATTTTCAGCATTAAGCTGTTAGGGGCAGAAATCCTTTTTGTGCTCTTTACTTCGCATACTGTCTTCATAGATCACTTCACATGGAAAAAAAAAAACCCTCTGGAATGCTTCGCAGCACGTTTGCAAGAAGATTCTTTCTTGGCTTAAGAAATTGAGTCGCCGCTCCCTTTGTTTGGTTTTCTTTGTGCTGTTACATGTATTCGAATTCACTGCATGAGTAAAATTTTGTGAAAAGTGCAGCTATACTCAGTATCGTTATTTGTGCCGTTCGCAAATTGGTACACGCTCGTACGAGCACTATAAGAGAGGTGGTGAATCTAGGAAAATGTTTGCTAGCTAAAGCTAAGACGTAATCTTTGAGTAAACACTCCTGCCTCGTTGACAGCTTGCATGGCACCTAAAATTGCTTTGTTTTTGCTGCGGCAACTGCTTGAGGCTGTTTTTCACGAAAAGTGATTTAAAGTGTGCAGCAGAACATTAGTGCACACATGGAAAAGAAAACGTAGGCAACATTTTTTTTTTCTTTTTTTTGGTTTATGCCAGAGTCAAGTGCTGAGGCAACTACTGCCGTGTCAGGTTGTGTAATGTATGTCTAGTTGTGTGTGTTTATCGCAGTTTTCTTCTGCTGCGGTTCTTGTTATATTGTTGCCTATATTATTTTTTTAGCGTAATTTATAATCATGATATGCTAGCTGTATTTTCGCGTCTTGCAGTGCAATGAACCTGTCTTTGCGCTTGCCTTTATAAAACATTAACGAAGTGGGCATGTGTTTACCAAGAACATCACTTGAAAATTTATGTTTTCGCTCCTCTAATGATTCTCATGTTTTAATTAAATTGTGTGCATAGACACACATTGACATTGTGTGCTTGCCGCTCTAGCAGTGCAGCTTACACAAAGCTCATCGATGCATGCATACGACTGGTTTATTGCCTCAGAGATGAGCACGCACATAGATGTGGTCTTGTAGGCTGTATAAAAATCATAGTTACTACATAATGGCCTTCAAGATAGCATTTTATGCGGTCTGCCATCTCTGAGGCTCCAAAGTTTCACCACACCTGTTTGGTACGCTGCGAACCCAAATCAGCCGCAGGGGCCTATGGAAGCGTCCTCTCTTGGCCTTTTATATTACTCTATGACTAGGTTCCAAATGTAGACATGTGATTCTACATTAAAGAGTATAAGTGAAATAAGTTAATTGCAACATAATTTACCTGCATGTTTGATGACACCTTTGCAGTTGCCAAAGACAGCCTCTTGTGTTGTGCATTCAGAAAGTCCAAACAGGAAACCACTGAGAACAATGTCAAGGCCAGACATTTGCAACCACAGCAAGAGCTGCAACCACTGCTCCTAAGAAATTCAAGATCACCTAGAACACTTGTGTATAATGATAGTCATTGGTGCCATAACGACTGAATGCAAGGTTGCGAGCAAGAGCCTGTAAGCCGTAATTGACATTATTACTATTTTCGAATTTCTCAGAAGACGAAGCAGGTTTTGATTAGAGCATAAGAGGCGAAAAAAATCCCAGCTTTGCTGCAAAGGCGTAGCAATGAATGCGATAGCAACATATTAGAATGATACACGTAGAATGGCAAGTAGATCGAAACGTGCCCCGCCTTGCTCACGAACATATGACGCACGAAACATACTCACAGCTACAGATGAACGGGAATAAGTGTCTCAGTTTTTACTTCGTTGGGTCTGAAAAGTGGACTCTTTTCGCAAATGGAGACTGAGACTGTGCAGCGAGTGCAGTGTGAGCTTTGTGCATCCGGTAACTACAAAGCATTCCCCCCCCCCCCCGAAAGAAGCGCACCACGCATGAGTGTCTACCCCACCTCCCCTCCCGTGGAGACGCGCATGAGCGCGCGTCTCCACGTTATGGCGATCTGGCGACACATGCTCATTGCAACATCTTGCTCGTAATGCTGAAAACACGATAATTCCCCTGAGATCGGCATCACCACCAGTAAGTGGTAGATATAAATAGCTTGCCATTTCAATGTTGAAGGAGGTGCTCCTTTGTGGCTCAGTGGCTAATGCCACGAACTCCCAAGCAAGAGGTGGGACATTCGATTCTATGCACCGGAGTGTTTTTCTGAATTAATTTTCTTTTTTGCATATATATAGATACATATACGGTGAATGACACCGTTGGCAAAATTCCGCCGAGAGTGTTCAAAATTGCTACGGCAATAAAATTAACTGTCTAGTATTATGATAATGCCTAATGCTAATTCTGAGTGCAGCTACGTGTTGGGGCAATGCCGATTGTGTTCAAAGTTTGGCTACCTGCAGTTGTAACAATGCCAAAGAAACTGCCAGCATTAGAGTGTTGCGTACACCACTCTGTGCATTGCAAACATTGTGAACCAAGCGAAACACCAACAGCACTCGAGTGCTATGCACACAATTTTGTGCATTGAAGGTGTTGTAACTCAAATGAAATGCCAATAGCCCAATTATAAGAAGGCAGACGAAGTGCATGTCCCAGCTATGTGTGTGTATGAGCTGCGACAGTAGAGTCAGCGGGCACATGAAAAAATAAAATGAGGTTAGAGGCCAGCAGCTCACGGGCAGATTCTGCATTTGTTCTCTTTCATCTTCATTAGCTTTAACAGTTATGCCGACGTCAGCTAGACACGGCGACACCGCTGCAAGTAGGAGTGGACGCCAAAGAGTTGCACTTCGAAGCTACCGTATTTGCACGAATATAACGCGACCGCGAATATAACGCGAGGGGGGTACTATAGGTCTCGACGAAAAAAAAAAAAGTTTAGTACGATTATAACGCGAGGTGATGCAACTGTAAACAGCAATCAAAGAGGCTTTATTTATATTTGCAGCAGTTAGAAATGCTATTATCACTGGCTTGCCTGATCAGTCATCATCGCTGCTAGAGTCTTTGTCACTGTCGACAAAAACCGCGTCGTCGTCCGTGCCGTCCAGACTGTTCGAGAGGCAGCACTTAAGGAATGCCCGTGACACTATTGCCGACGGCAAGGCCTCCCAAGCATTGTGTATCCAGCGAGCGACCTCGCTGACTGAAGCTCGCTTCATGCGACCCGATGGAGTCAGTTGGCGATTGCTAGCCTCCAGCCACTGCTCGTACTCCCGGCGTACGAGGTCCTTAAAAGGCTTATTAATACAGACATCCAGTGGCTGGAGCTGCGACGTCATTCCTCCGGGAATGACAACAAGGTCAGTGTTGGCCTTGGCGAGCGCTTCTTTTACCTCATCGGTCAAGTGGCCTCTAAACGCGTCCAGCACAATCATAACTGGAGTGTTGAGAAGTGCGCCCGGACGTCTTCCCCACACAACACGGATCCACTCAGTCATCATGGTGCTGTCCATCCAGCCCTTATCATTGCACCTGACGTGCATCCGGTGTGGGAATGTCTCATTCTTGGGCAGAGTCTTCCTCTTAAATATGAGAAATGGCGGCAGCTTACGCCCGTCCGCCGTACACGCCAGCATCACCGTCACCCGGGTCTTTTCGTTACCCGTTGTGCGGACGCGCACCTCCTTGGTGCCGAGCTGATCGATCACATAGCCAGCCGGTATGTCCAAAAAGATCGGGGTCTCATCCGCGTTACCGATCTGGCCTAGGGGGTAGTTTTTCTCTCTCCTCATCTTGATAACGTAACGCTGAAACTCAACGAGTTTCTCTTCATACTCGGCCGGAAGTTTCTGGCAAATTGACGTCCTTCGGCGAAGCGAGAATCCCGCCCGACGCATGAACTTCTGGACCCACGAGCGACTGGCTTTGAAGGTGTCACGGGGCACGCCGGCCTCACGTGCAAGCTCCCTTGCTTTTATCTGCACAAGTTCGGCGTTCACAGGCAGAAACTGGCCACGACGTTGACGCACAAATTCCGCCAGGTCCACTTCGATTTCCGGGAAACGGCCGGTCTTAGGCCCACGGAACGCCTTGCGTGTCGGTGCGGCTTGGAATATGCGCTCTCGAAACTTCATCCAACCTCGAATGGTAGACTCCGTCACTCCGAGATGCCGTGCCGCACTTGAATTTCCCCTATTTTCGGCCAGCAGGATCGCCTGTTTTTTGAACGCGGCAGTGTATTGATTCCGTTTGTACATGATGACGGGCCAAGCGGAAGAAAGAACACAGCAACGAGCGACCGCAAGGCGTAGGAAGGCGATGCACACGTTTTTCCGAAATGATTGTTATCCACGTGTTGCCACTGGGGCTGCTGTGGCGCTAGCAGCGCTAGCGCAGATTGCGACCGCCGCAGCCTACCGTAGTGGCGCGCACGTCGCCGGCGCCCTGAGCGGCGGTGCTCCGAGACGTCCGGCGGCCGTCGGCGCCACGGTGCCTTGCCACGCGCTGTCACTGGATGCGCAAGTCAGAATAAAATGTGCTATATGGGGCGACAAAACCACGAAGTTCGTGGAATGTGCGGCGCGCCTTACAAGAACGAAGATTTAAAAGAAAAAAAAGAAAGGCTCGAAAAATTTTCGCGTTATATTTTTGCCACTTTTTGTCACGAACGCGAATATAACGCGAGGTGCCTTTTTCACTCGCATATTTTTGGAAAAAAACTCGCGTTATATTCGTGCAAATACGGTACATTACAGACCATAATGCTATGAAGAGAACAACTGTCGTGCCTAAAAATTATGGCACAAGTGTTAATTAGAAAGACAGCAGCACATACACAATTCCAGATTAATTGGGACCACACATGTATCACAAGCACAGACATGACACATGAGTGCACTATGTGTGTTAAGATGTGCCTGTTCAATTTGCTTAGTTCTGTATTTCACTGCTACACTCTTATACATCTCTCCCCAAGCAAATAGAAGTCCCATTAAATTTCACACATACACAGTACCTGGTCCCTCTACATTCCATTTCAACAGACTGTGCTGTATCTCCATTATGCACAACAATCAATACCAAGAATGGGTTGATATTCATTACATGCTGATGCTACTGGCTGAAAGATCTGCAAATAATTCAGTGCGAAGCCTAAAGAGATAATGAAAGAGTAGACACAAAATGTTTTGTTTTGTACCAGTTGTTCTTACGTGAAATCATAATGCATCTTGTGGCAGCTCGATTTAGCAAAGGCTAGAAATAAGTTTGTTGACAGCCTGAGAGCAAGGAGTAGACAAGCATTTAATTAAAAATAAAAACAGGCCTTGCTGACTGCGGCGACTAAAGGCACTTAAATGTAGGCGCTGTTGCCCTGCTATGGAGGGGGATAACAGGTGTTCAAATACAAGGATCCCGAAGTAGGAGTATTAGGATGACGAAAGCGTAAAAAGTTTTTTCTTAAAATTGCTAGAAGCACAAAGTACAACAGTGAAAATGGCAATAAGTACCTGAGTTTCAAGAAAGAAAAAGAGAGCAGAAAGAGTGAGTGACTATCGCAGCAAATCTGTTCCAGGTTGCCCAGTTATCAACTCTGGTGGGAAACGTCTCGAGCTGCCTTGTTTTGTCTGTGCTCATTATGACAGTGAGGTTTCTTTGAACATGAGAGTGCAAGCGGTATCCATGTATAAACAAAAGTGCAACAGAATGAAGTATAGCAAACAGCTGAACCATGACAGCAAAAAGAGACAAGCAACAGGCTTGTTTGTCATCCAATAAGCGATAAAAGGATACAGGTTGGCTGCATCCTTTGGTCCTCTCAATTCTTGAGGCTGAAGAAAAAAAATATATGACAATACAATAAAAGAATGGGAACAAGTGAGGTAAGAACAGAGATCCAAACAACTTACTAGATGAAGTACAAAGAATACACACAGCTACTACAGATGCATACTAACTGCAATGTTGCTGAAACCAACATAATTATTTGATTACCTATTACGTATTATTGGCCGCAAAAGTTTGTGGTATCTGCAGCGTGTGGCGAAGAGGAGAAAAACTGCGTAACCTACTGTGACACGGCACATGTCGAGGATACTGGCTGTGGCCTCCGCGATTAGATCCGATCAAGAGCATTGTCAAAACGTGTTGTCACCAATCGCTGAGACTGACAGCCTCACTAACCGTTACGTCAATGGTTCTTAAATGGGGGTCCACGGACCCTAGGGGCTCCGTGAAGCCATTTCTATGATCTGCGAAACCCTCACCCACATTTTTTTTTAAGCGTGACTATGCCACGTATTGATGAACTGTCCAAAATGAAGTGATGTGGAAAGTTTATTTGATGTTTTTTTGGTTGAAATAAAAGGTAGGCTTGTGCGAATATTCAAATAATAATATTCAAATGAATAGTAGAGTATTCACTTCAAGTCAAATTTAAATTATTGAAAATTTCAAAGTATTCGCAATGAATGAATAGGTGAATATTAATCTGCATGTAACAACTTGTAAAAGTGTTTTTGCTGCAGTGTTGGAGCGCTATGCCGTGAAAGAACCCATCCAGAAAAAATCTGCTTCGCCGCAAAGCCCCCCAGCAAATTTAAAGGGGCCCGGCAACACTTTTTGAGCATAGTCAGAAAACACTCCCGATCGGTCATCCAGGTTTCCGAGAACAAGCGAGCCAAATATATGGCGCAGCACGCGACCTGTGATTCACAGTAAATTCTCAAAGCCAGCTGAAAATTGCGCTCTTCTCTCGGCAAATGACACCATGAGCTCAAAGATCACTCGTCACAGCTATTGCATCACCCATTGGCTGATTTAACATGGCGCTCGGTCATCACTGGGGCCGCAGCGGGAAGCCGCGACGTGTGCAGGCATGCGGACGCAATCACACTGAAAAGCCACGTATTCTAAGAAAAAAGAGGTGCTCAAGGTCATGAGGTGCATGTGACGTATTTTCTTTTGCCGTGCCATTCCTCCCTGCTTAGCTTCCAGTTATTTCGTCAGGACGAAAAGAGAGAATTAAATTGCAGCGTGCGACTAACTCACGGAACTCCGCCGCTTATACTGGACTGTTTCTAAAAATTTTGTGCTGGTAAGTTTGCGAAGCAACAAGCTTCTTTACTGGCTCCATGGCTACTTGAAAAAGTGTTGCAGGGCCCTTTTAAACTGATATCCTACTACTACTCAAAGTTGTTTTGAATTCCTGTGAACGAAAAAAAACAGGCATTTGCATAAGGCCTTATATCAATATAAAATATATTGTGCTGGTTAGTTAGGTCATGATAAATATGCCCATCTTTTTGTATGTCTCATATACTATTAAAATTTGATTCAAAATTATTAGACCAAAATCAGTATTCGCTTCGAATTCTTTTCCAACCTAAAATTCACCATTCGCACAAGCTTAATAAAGGGCACCTGTTTCACGCTCCAGTTGTGTTAATTTACCTACCCCCCCCCCCCCCCCCCTCCTCCGTACGCTCCACTGCAAGGGGTCCTCCATCACTTCCACCAGTCCCCAAGGGGTCCCCGACACGTCCATGGCTGAGAAGCACTGTGCTACGCCATTGCATGTTACGCAGCATTGCAGTTTTTTATCACTCCGCCATGCACTGCAGATTCCACAAGCTTTTGCGGCCAACCGAATACCACGGTTTCAGTTCAATGTAAGGTCTGCACTTGACCTGGCATATAAACTAAAGCTGTTTAAATAACAGGCTGATTGGCAGGAATACAATAGAACCTCGCTTACCCTTCCTGTTCTGCACAATTTCTCGGCGCAAATGTTTGCACTACTGTTATCAAGCGAAACTGCACAATGATTTAGTGATTAATAGACGGTACGTTTTCCAGTACAGTACATTTCTTGCACATTTTTTGAGCATGTACGAGCAAGCTTCTACCACAACATACATTTCTGTAAAAACAGATTTCTGTGTATCATACATACATATCACCAACATTTGCACCAACTATGTTGCTAAGGCTACTAAGTCAAGTATAGCACACATAATCTAAATCACGATCTTGTAATACTAATATTTACAGCCGCATACTGATACTTGAACCTCGATATAACGAACTTGGATATACCGAATAATCGGTTAGGATAAAGTAAATGAAGGATCGTCTTGCAATAGATAGGGTGTCAGGAATATACTTTTATAACAAGTTTTCCCATATAACAACCTTATTTTCATGTAAGATGCAACTTTGTTATAACGAGGTTTCAGTGTATTTCGGGCTTTTGTCGTAAAGATGTCAATGTGTGATAACAATGATATTGTGCAGTAGCAGATAAGAACAAAAACATAAGCAATGAGCAAACAAAGAATATATAGTAGTATATATATACCGTAATTACTCGAATCTAACGCGCACCTTTTTTCCGCTTAAGCGGGTTCATAAATTGCATGCGCGTTAGAATCGAGTACGAACAAAAAAATTACGATCAATCTATTGCCATCGGCAAATCCAAAATGGCCGCCCCCTACGTGCGTCAGCATGGCGCGTCGGCCATTTCTGCCTATGTGTTTCCCATGTGCGGCACTTCATACGTGTGCTGAGGAGTTCGTCATCTAGTAGTGCTAATTAGCATCGACGGCGTGGAAGGGCTGACTCCAAAAGCTCGAGTGCACCACGATGCCGCTTTTAAAAGAAAAATCATTGCGTGTGCAGAAACGGACGGAAATCGGGCCGCAGCGCGGTCGTTCGGAGTTCCCGAAACGTGCGTGCGGGACCGGCGGAAACAAAAGCAAAAGATTGTCGACACCAAAGCTTCACGCAAAGGCTTCAGTGGACCACAGCAGGGTCGGTTTCCGCAAATTAAAGAGCTGCTCGGCGAGTATGTGCTTGAGCAGTGAGCGGCACAGCGGCCCGTGACGACAGAACTGCTCCAAGTGCGGTCTATGCAATTAGTCTTAGAAAGAAGTCTAATGCGGAGCCACTTTAAAGCGAGCAGGTGCTGGCTAACTAACTTTATGAAAAGGAAAGGCTTTTTCCTCCGAAGCGGAACATGCATATGCAAAAAGTTTTGTGGAGGAATACGATAAAAAGCTTCACAGTTTTCAGAGGTTCGTCCTAAACTTGCGGCGCAACAACGGCTACCTGCTTGGGCAAATCGGGAATGCCGATCAGACACCTCTTTACTTCGACATGCCTGGCACCACAATCGTCGAGAAGAAGGGGGCGAAGCAAGTTCATGTGCTGACATCGGTCCACGGTAAAACTACAGTGACGGCAATGCTCTGTTACACGTCAGATGAGCACAAGCTTCGCCCGTACCTCATATTTAAATGGAAGACGCTCACGAAAGGAGTCGTTTTTTCGAGTGGTGTGATCGTGCGGGCCAGCGAGAAAAATGGGTGCGCGTTGCAATCTATGTCTTACGTTTTTTTTTTTTTTTTTTCGAAATGGAAATCGGGTGCGAGTTACAATCGAGGGCGCGGTAGAATCGAGTAAATACAGTAGTTGGCTGTGTCAGCAGCTGTACCAATTTGTGCTTTGTGTAGCAGGGCAGGAGCATAGGTATGTAATAAGCACACTTTCAATGTAACAGTGTGTTTTTGTCCTAGCGCGTGTGTAGTGAATAAAAAGTTATAAGTACAAAACCGTACAATTGGCAAGCTTTACCATTCACAAATTTATGAGGCAATGAAAAGACAAAGTGCAAAACTTTATAAAAGTCAAATAAAGAGCATAAAGGGGCTCCTCCACTGAGCACATCATAGCCTGCTGATCTGCATTAGCTACTGTCACCAACCCTGCTCATTAGGGTGTTGAAGGTGGCTTTGGATAATCCATAATGGTGAGAATAATGCATCACAAATGAATAGAGCCTTGTGTACTGGCTACTAGATACAGGTCTCATGGTAAAGCTAGTTAGCCAACTCATAACTAATAATACTAGTGTGGCCAGACACACATGCTTAGCAAACTTGCCAAATTGCAGTGTACAGAAACTCTCTAATTACTTTTAGTTTAAAATGAGATATGCAAAATGAAAACACATGTAGCATATTTTGTAACTCTTAAAATATTTACTTTGTTTAGAAAATGACATTACGTACATCAACATCAGCTTTGAGAAAATCTAATACAAAATGCACCATCTCAGGCCCCAAAAAATGCATTCTGCTTCTACAGCAAGCGAATCATTGCTTGTTTAAATAATGCTTATATTCATTCATTTGATTGCACTTGTTGGAATGTACAGGCAGATGGAAAGAAATGCAACCAGCGCAACATGTCATTATCATCACGCTTTAAGCACAGTAGCAACAAACAGGTGCTAGTGTGGTTCCTGACTGTATCAAAATGAGGTGAGTCGCCTTTCATTACCACGATCCAGCAACAAACACTTCAGCAAAGAAAAAGAGTGCAAAACAGCAGAGAATGAGGATGCTACACTGTTTACAATGCGTTCCATCTACACTGTATATTTATTTTCAGAAACAAAACTGTCACTTGCACATACATGGTTGTCTCGTGAAAGTTCTGTAGCTGATAACAATAATGATGTTGTCTGTGCACTTACAATCCTTTAACCTCACCATTGATGTTGAGCTCAATACAGGGCAAGTCGGCACTTGCACAAAACTTAATGGGTTCACACAGTCCGCCCGTCCGCGGTGGTTTAGTGGCTAAGGTACTCGGCTGCTGACCCGCAGGTCGCGGGATCGAATCCCGGCTGCGGCGGCTGCATTTCCGATAGAGACGGAAATGCTGTAGGCCCGTGTGCTCAGATTTCGGTGCACGTTAAAGAACCCCAGGTGGTCAAAATTTCCAAAGCCCTCCACTACGGCGTCTCTCATAATCATATGGTGGTTTTGGGACGTTAAACCCCACATATCAATCAATCAATCAATCAATCACAGTCCACATGATGCAGCCCTGAATGCTTACCATCCATGCTCCACTTGTTATGATGACACCCTGCGGAAGTAAGAGTTGCTATAAGTTTCCATATCAAGAACAGAAAAAAAAAAGCAAACTATAGAAAAATAATCATAGCTATTAAAAGTAGAGTGGTGTAAAGAGACAGCTGTATAACCCAAACCACAACCGTAGAACTACCAAACATATGTGTGCATTGATATAGCGATGACAGTCAAGACGGGACAAGGAACTACGAAGAAACATGGACGAGCCCTCGCCTGTGTTTCTTCCTAGTGCCTTCTTGTGCTGTTGTCAGTATAATGAACCACCAACTTGCCCAAAAATTTGCGCTCTTGAGTACAGTGAGCACAAGGTACAAAAACAGACAGAAGCACCTTGGCACTATTCCTGTTTCTTTTTTTCTTGTTGCTGATGCTGGCAACCCAGCTACCTACCGGTTGCACGTGCCTTAACCAATTAGTTAATATTAGAACTCACAAAAGGAGCATTGGATTAAAACTGACAGTTTACTGAAAGCATACAACAGTGCCGTAAAGTACGTAATTTCAAGTTACTAAAGATGCATATTTACACACACACCCCATTGCCTTCATCATGTGATGAAACAAACGGCTACTTTACTGCTCGGTGGTGGTCCACTTCAGCACTTCAACATTGTGACACTATGATTCATCATGAACCGCATCATTCATTTATGATAGCACTTATACCGTAGCTCACAATCAGCCATCTTCCCAAAAAGCCCCACCAAAGATTCCTTACGATCATGCCCTACTTAACCAGGCTTGTACTCTGACTCTTGCTTTGTATACAGTGTAGCGGCTGGCCTTTATGAGAAACTCCTCACACATTGTGCCAGCTCCTATTGTCTTGCATTAAAGGGAAGCAGAAGGAATTTTAGAATTCAATCAAACTTCGTGTTTAGAAAGGACCGACATTGTTGTTGACGATGTCATAATTGTTTTCACGGTTGTAGCAGAAAGTGTGGGCACAGAAACTGTGAAGGTGCTAAGACCCCCTGTAAAGTTGTTTGTGCCTCGCGGCGCACGTGTTTTGCGCACAAGCTGTATTTCGGGGTCACGGCTATTGAGCGGTAAGTGGAGTTGTGTTCGCGAGTGGTGATCACCCCTTTACCATACCGCTATTATGTATCATCATCATAATATAGCACCAGCGGCGACAAGCCTTGGTAGCGGCGAGCAAAAGATAAGCTGGTCTCTTCTGCGCGTGGTGGTTGCCGCGAACGGTTGTCCCTTGCGTGGGTCCCCAGAGCCACGGGTTGCGCGTCGGGGGCCTTCATGGTAAGTCAAGTGTTGGTGACGCCACCTTTGGTGTGTTATTGGGTTTGTCATGTTTTGTAGAGTATGGTAATACTGTGTAAGGATGTCCTACCATGTTGATCACGATTTATGTTATACTAATTCAGCGGACAATATCGACGTTTTAAAATTAGTTAAATAAATGTATGTTGTTGTTTGGTTTTTTCCGACTGCGTATGCTGTCTCCGTTCACTCCAAGAGCGTGGTGGTACTTGCCGATTTGAGACCCCACACTGGCGCCTAACGTGGGGCTTTTAGAGCACCGGACGACAGTTTTCGCGTTTCGGTACAATCTTTTGTTAGAGGCGAGGTAGGGTAGGCCTGGGGGGACTTCTCATTGCAAGCGTTGGCTGTGTGCTTTGTTGAGAGCAAGGAGATCGGCATTTGTGAAATGTTTGAACTTTTCGGCAGGTTGAGTTTTGATTTTTTCTCTGCTCGCAAGTAGTTTTTATTTTCAAGAGCGCTGTTCAGTTGGGATGAGAGCCATGTGGTCTGCATCCTGGGGTGAGCAAGGCTTAGAGTACGTAGATTGTCGGCCAAGCCCGAAGCGAGTGAGTACGGAACCTTCGTGGGTGGTCTGATTTTCTGTATATAGCTTTTTTAATTTCTTGGGCTCAGCAAGTCGGGCATCGTTGCTGTCTGCTATTGCGGCTCTATGACGGGGCGTCGTGACACTATCCGGGGCGGTGGACGCCGATCCCTCGGTAAGCAGCTGTGTGCGGCGAGCGATAGGGCCACTTTACAGGGTGGATGTCTTCTTGCGGCTGCCTCTTCTGCGCCTAGGCTGGGTGCTGGGTGGATGCCGGTTGTTGTCGAGCGACTCATTAGGCCTAAGGCTCTGCGCAGCCGCCTGTCGGACGTGGCACAACTAGATGGATCGTGGCGTTGAGGTGTTACACTCTGCTTCCCTCGCTTTTTATCTTGCAATGCACGAATTAGAAAAAGTGACCTTTGTTTTATTGTTTAGCTGGGCGTCTTGGCCCCCGCCGATGTATTAGCATATTACTGACCATTGTACCACGTGGGCGAGAAGCCCGAAGCTCCCTTCCCTTTGGCCTACTGCATTGTTCTTTCGAGTGTTTGGAATGTACGCAGCGGGAGTGATGCAACCCACGGCTGGCTGTCTTCCGCACATCGTCAGCGCCGCTGGCCAGGAATGCGGTCGTGAGGTCGGGCGATGGAGATGCCTAGGACCTGCGCAACTGCCTGCAGTCCGGCGCTCTCGTGAGTGCTCGTCGCAACCGGCAAACGTGTCGGCGCTTGTGACGGTTCGTCAGGTCGACGGCAACGTTGCTGTTGCGGGACCAGTACTGAGGTGAAGTCGAGCTGGACAGTGCAGCCGAGTTGACCAACGATGGTGTCGTGGTGTACAGGCATTATGAAAGGACATGTGTTGTAATTTTTGTTTGAGCTTATGCACCTGATTTCTGTGTTTTTTGGGATATGGTTTGAATTAAGGTTGAGGGGATGTGAGGCTGCTGACACCCCCTGTGAAGTTGCTTGCGCCGCGTGGCGCACGTGTCTCGCGCAGACGCCGTATTTTGGGGTCACGGCTATTGAGCGATAGGTGGCGTGTTCGCAAGCGGTGTTCAAGAGTGGGAAAGGGCTGAGAAGAGGGTTCCTAGTAGTACATCAACACGCCCAGATGACATTCCAATTATGCTGATAAACACATTAGGTCTGAAGTCTAAGCACGCTTTGAGAGAGGCAGTGAGCAAAACAACAAGCGATGGTGAATTTCCCGATGGATGGAAACTTAGCAGGATAAGCATGATCTATAAAGGAAAGGGGGACAAAGGTGATATAATCAACTACCGTCCTATAACAGTCACATCAGTGGTCTACAGGCTGGCGATGCAGATTATAAAGGAAAGACTGCAGGCGTGGATAGAGGATGAGGGGGTGCTGGGGGAACTGCAGAATGGGTTTCGGAAACACAGGAGGTTGGAAGACAATCTGTTCTCACTGACGCAGTTCATCGAAATAGCAGAATAGGAACACAGGCCCCTGTGGCTAGCATTTTTGGATATCAAGGGAGCCCACGATAGCTTAGTTCAAGAGGACTTGGGGGGGAATACTGGACAACCAGGTGTGGAAGATGGAGTCACTAATCTTTTAAAGGACACCTATAAAGGTAACAAGGTAGTTATAAAATGGGAAAAACAAGTATCCAAGCCCACAGTGGTATAACAGGGGCTAAGGTAAGGGTGTCCTCTGTCACCCTTGTTATTCATGATGTACCTACAAGGATTAGGGGCCAAATTATAGGGAAGTGGACTGGGCTTCAACCTCTCTTTCGTCAAATAAGAAAAACTCATTGAACAGGCACTACCGGCATTGATGTACGCAGTTGATATAGGACTAATGGCTGACAACAAGGAAGATTTGCAGAAATTGATGGATACTTGCGGTAATGAGGGAGATAGGTTAGATAGGTTAGAGTGGGCACGGCGAGACGACAGCGACCATGTTGCTGACCACGAAGTTTTTCTTCGTTGTACAGGTTTCGCTGCTGACGGTCACAGGATTACCGAGCACGAATGACACATGCGCGCCGCCGGTTGACACCATCTACCTTTCCGTGGCAGATCTGCATGTGCGGACGCCGATACTGACCTTCTGTATGGACGCTCCGATGCAGCGACAGTTGCGCATGTCCGTGACATCAGCGACCAATGCTATAAAGCATCCACTGCAGCATTTCTTCGACAGTGGGCACGGCGAGACGACAGCGACCATGTTGCTGACCACGAAGTTCTTTTTCGTTGTACAGGTTTCGCTGCTGACGGTCACAGGATTACCGAGCACGAATGACACGTGCGCGCCGCCGGTTGACACCATCTACCTTTCCGTGGCAGATCTGCATGTGCGGACACCGATACTGACCTTCTGTATGGACGCTCCGACGCAGCGACAGTTGCGCATGTCCGTGACATCAGCGACCGAGGCTGTAAAGCATCCACTGCAGCATTTCTTCAACAGTGGGCACGGCGAGACAACAGCGACCATGTTGCTGACCACGAAGTTCTTCTTCGTTGTACAGGTTAGCTACTCTGCTTCCAACATAAAAACTATTGATGAAGTCATGTTAGTAGTTATGCCGTGCCCAAGCACCTGTTTAAGTATTGCATATGAGTGCTATTGTGCATGCAAAATGGTACTCTGTGGTGACGTTGAGACAAACCCAGGATTCACGAACGCTGATTTATTACACAGTATTCTTCAGGGTCAAGCAGATATGAAGGCCGAAATACTGCTATTAAATCGATGAACGAAGAAATAATGAGCGACATGGACTTGCGATTTCGAGCAATTGAAGCCAAACTGCAGGAATTTAAAGATAAATCACCAGAAGTTCCAGCTCTTGAATCCACTGCAGCTTCCTTTAAAACTGTGCTGTCATGGCAGAGCTCCAAGTTAACTGATCTCGAAGACCGAAGCCGTCGGGCAAACCTTATCATTCATGGTGTTCTCGAAAACACAAATGAAAATGACACCTGTCTTCGAACTGCTGTTGTAACCAATATATTCGAGAAAACATTGGGAGTGAAGTGTAAGTCCATAGCCCGCATTCACCGTCTTGGCCGCCAAGGTAGTCGTAGGCCTGTCATAGCTTACTTTCAAGATTATCAGGAGAAACAAGAAGTCTTAAAGAATTCAAATAAATTGAAGGGCTCCAATATTTATGTGCAAAATGATTATAGCCAGTGCACGCTG